CACACAGACATTTTCCTCCTTTAAGCTCAAAAGTGTCCCACAAAACTCAAAACCCAAATCCTCTAGAACAGGTTCCAGCAATTGTAGAAGTATTACCAATGTAGACAATCTTTGCCGTCAGCTCATACCTCTACAACAAGAGGGAGAATGCAATGTTGTTCATAGCCAAAATATGAGATGGTTTCAGTCCTTTGGCAGTTTCATGGCTTTGTAAGTCATTTGGATCCACTGCTGCCACTCCAGCTGTTCCTGTGCTGTTAATGTGAGAGAGCACCAGGCAGGATCATCCTTCCAGGGGTGGACGGAGGGGAATACAGCCATCCATCTCCAGAGACTCAGGCCAACCTTCATATTTGTTGCTGCTCTTGCTATTCTTCATGCGCTGATGGGAACAATCACAGGCAAGCCATACAGAATCAGATCAGCTACACGAGAAAAGCAGCGGAAATACAGACTGCTGAACAAAAAACTGAATGTTACTACGCAAATAAACATGACAAACTGAATAACATTAAGTTAGGGTTTGTTTGGATGGGTCTGTTACAGCACGCATGAATTTGTCTAAAGCTGGCAAAAGTTATTCAAATCAAAATGTTCATTGTTGTTGCTCTGTTTGTCTCTATCCTTCGTCCTTCATCTCCCTCTATCCCACCTTCCAAGCCCAACACAGTTTCAGCAGATGGCTGTTAAACATGAGTCCGGTTTGGCTCAAGGTTTCTGCTGTGTTTTTTTTTTTGCTACTGTAACTCTGCCAAATGTTGCTAAGTGCTCATGATGGATTGATGTTGGTCTTTGTAGATAATATAACAATGAGTAAGGTCTTTTACCTGCTCTTTTTTAAAGTGTCCTGCGACAGCATTTGTTATGAATTTGTGCTATACAAATAACAATTGATTGATTGAACATTTCTGACCTTTATAAGACATTTAAAACCTAAAGATTTAATTATGATTGTCTTCAAATAACCCGACCTCTAAGTTTTTCCTGAGTTTCACAGGGCTAGGCTAACAAATGTGTGTCATCAGGATAGCTTAGCTTCTCTTACTGCAGGGTAACTCTTTGCTAGCAGATAGTGGCCTTACCATCCAGCTGCATTCAACTATAGTACACACTAACTCAATTATTTCCTAATTGTCCCTTGTGATATTTATATATACACATGTATTTCTCCATATTGTATAGAAAACATAACAAATACAATAAATGTATCATAATACAATTGTTAGTCTTGAGACAACTATCTGGTGAGTCAACCTTAATTGTTCTTTATATGATGATGACGGAGAGGGATATATTTTTACTACATCTGAAATCACCGACCCTAATCTACCCTTAGCTTGTGTGGATTGTCAATAGAAACAGTGACATACCTGCTCAAAGGGACTCTTATTTTCGATTCCCTTTGCGCCAACAAACACCCAGCTGTCTCTGAAGGCCAGCTCCTTCACTGCTGTGCTTCCGAGCTCCTCAAACAGTCGTCGAGCCTCGTCGTTCATCCTGAAGACACAGTGGCAGGTATTACGTGTGTTAACGTGTGTAAGTGGGCATGCTGTTAGTCAAAGCAAGAGGCTGATGTGTGAGTGTTTGGCCTCCATTAAATGTTATTGAGGTCAGAAAATTGTTGCCAACTCTCTTCAGGCTCCCTCTTTGGCTTAACCATTTTAAAACCCTGTTGTGTTTTAACTGATAAGGCCTTTGCAGAGAACAGTGTCAGGTTTATTGTTGTGCTAACTGGGCTGAACAGAAAGGCACCAAGAGGACAATACGGTATATATATTGACCACTTGGTGCCTATACATGCATTACAATAATATATATAGTAATGATAAATCAAGTTGTTTTTGGCTGTAAAACCAAACTGACTAACATGGTGGCCTTTTGTTTAGCTCTTAAGCATGCTATCCTCTGCAGCAGTACCATATAATATTTTAGGCTTCCATATATTGTCCAAAGTTAGAACAGGGAATTTTCTTAATCTTTTGCTAACAATGAATCTGTGAAATTGCCTTCAAGTGCAGGAGGAATGGGAAGGGTGTTGGACTGCAACTGGGGGCAAGTTGTGGATTCTTACTTTGTAGCTGCATCATCAAAGGAGGCCACGAACACGAGAGTTCCTTCATGGAGCGGCCGAAGAAACTTCAACAGGTCAGCAACATCTGAGAACAAATGTCAGATGAGCTATGAACTGTGGTTTACAGCATGTTATTATCAAGCCATATGTACCAGATGTGAAATATAGACTATACATTAGTGTCTGGTTTTATTACCTCCTGCCCACATATCGAAGGTTTTTGAGGCTAAAAGATCTCCTGTCACCCCTGGAGAAAGAAACACCAGTAAGAATGTTAAACGTGCAAATCAACAGAAGTAACACAGCTCAATAAAAAGGAGAAGGATGACCCTCTTATTACCATTGACCAAAGCAATGTTTAGTCCTCGGCCTACGTTGTTCTTCACACTGCTCACTAACCTGTAAACAGAAAAAAAGAAATGAGGTTGAAGCACTTCTGGGGGACACGTCCCTGCCTAACACATAAGCATTCACGTCCACACTTCCACACTGCCTGGTACTTGAGAAACAACAAAAAAGAACAAAGACTACACAAAAAACAAAAGAACTGGGGGAGAGACAGACTGAAACAATACTTGCATTCAGCTCCCCAGACAGACTTGAAGGCCTGGTTATGTCAGCAAAGAGGAAAAAAAGAACAGAGTGTGAAACCCCCCCCCCCACCCCCAAAAAAGGTGAGTGAGACCGAAGGGGAGACAAAGACATACATTCAAAGAAAAGAACTTGAAAGCTCTGAATCTCACATCTTGTCCTCCAGGCATATTTTGGGCCCAATGACGTTGGCAGCACCAGACACCAGGCGGAAAGCCAAATGTTTCGGGGGGCAGGGAGCTGTGAGGCCACATTTATACCTTCGGGGATGAGGTTCACCTACAAAAAATATGATTCAGTAGTCAAAGATTTAAAGGAAGATGCAATAATACCATACTTTTCATGCCAATTCACTGAAAGAGGGGTCATAAAATGCTCGGATCATACGTGTTCTTCTACTTACCAGGTGTTGGCTCCTCGCTTGCACCTGAGAAAAGAAACACCATTTGCACTGTTGAAAATGTCATGTCATAGCAGCATGGCTATATTGGATCTAGTAATACACAGACACAGTGTTTCCCCTATATGCATCTAGTGGTGCACCGCTGCTAAAATATGACCACTGCTGCTGACGTTTTTCTTTTATGAGTTTTTAAAATAAATTATTCATTTTGATTCCGACTCCTCTTGCCTTTTGCCATTACATATGAGCCGGATTATGACAATAGGGTGGTTGTTTGTTTATTATTTTGTCCAATAAATGTTAATAATTATTTTAATGGCAAGAATTTTTTTAAATTGCACGCAACTAAAACATTGTTTCACTTCACCACCGCTGCTACAACTCCAAGCTAGGGGAAACACTGAGACCATCTATCTCTTCAACAGAAACACTTTAAGCTAATCATTTGAGTTGCTAGAAACTTTTTTTTGAATTGAATTATTCTTTTCCTAGTCTAGAAAATGTTAGAAAATTTAAGATGTTTAAGATATTCTGCGTTTGCTTCTTTGTAGGACAAAGATTACTAAATTATGTAAATTATTACAAACATTCTCACACATATGATCGCTCAAACCTGACATTTATGTTCATTGATAAATTGTTTTCAAATAATCCTCCATAAATAAAGCCATGTATCTTACCACTGAAGAAATACCTCACAGACGAACCACTCTCGCCTCCAAATAAAGAGTTTGCCAGCAGCCATGTGAGACCCACCAACAGCAGCACGGCCACAGCTCTCAGTGGCCCTGTCCAGATAAACCAGAAACAACTGTTCAGGCTAAACTCACAACAGACTAGAGACAGATTTACACATTTTAAGAGAAATGCAGCACAACAAACCTGTTAATCTCATGATTCACCCTTTCATAGACCTGGAGAGGGATACAGTTTAAATGAAGTAGTTACATATGGATGCTTTGATTATCAGCAAATGACTTTCTAATATAATGACTTTTTTTTTTTTTTTTAGAATCACAAATGTATCAACGTTTTCACAATCCATTCATTATAACGCAATATTTTAAGAGTGTGAATAAAATTGCAGAAACAAATGTAAACAAGAAGAGACACGTTAAGTAGCCTACAGGAGAAAAAACTACAAATACGCAACGAAATAAAATCAAACGAATTATCACTACGCAATGTATATCGCGAACAAGTTTGTTTCCATGTAACTATCAACAATCAACTACGTAAAATCCTAGAAGAGTTAAATATTTAATTTTAATTCAACTTTTGCGAAAACAATAAGCGTGCAATGCCATACACTGGCATTACAAGATGGCACTGCACAAATACCTTTTTTTTTTTACAATATATTGAATCTCGTAAATTCATTTACAAGTAAAAACGCAACACGTCATACCTGCTGAGTCCACGTTTCAGGCCAGAATTGCCTATTCTTGTCACCTTTTCTCCGATGTAATGAACGATACAGAAGAGAAGAGCTGTTGCTTCTGCCACTCGGGACTTTTACTATTTCTTGCGCTGTTTCCGCATTTAACCTTTTTGCATAAATAGTCTTTGAACGAGATGACAGACCGGGGTCGATATGCTTACTGTACCATTTTCACAAGTTTTCTAATCCCGCTTTACCAAGGAACACAGTTAAATGTTCGTTTTCCCCCCATCTGGTTGTCTTCCGGATATAATTTCAACCCCGAGTGAGTCTGCGCGAGGAGCGTCACGTGACTAACGTTGATTTAATAAATATATTATCATAATTGTTGAACAAATCTGTTGTGACTCGAGAAGCACGCGATTGATAACAAATAAAACATAAAAAAAAGATGTTTCACACAATTTATTAAGAATACATTTTACAGATTTTTTTTTGTTTTTTTGTTTTAAAGCTAAAAACCGACGCGCGAGCACAACGTCCCCGCCCCTCGTGCGTGCACTGCTTTACTTCTTCTACATCAAGATGGCGACCCCCGGTGCTGTGCTCTCCATGTCCAAAATCATGAATCCCTTTTGGGGTGGACGCCTTGGGAATACTGTCAAAGTAAGACATGACACGTTGGCTTTATCTGTCAGGTGTGCGTGTTTGTTTGTTTGTTGTTGTTCGTTTGCTCCATGTGAAAGACGAAGGGGCAGTTTCATCCGAGCACAAGGTCATGTAGTTTTTTGGTTATTCAATTGGCAAGCTAGCAGGCTTCATCATAAGCATTTTTAAGTTTTAAATGTGTAAATTCTGTAAACGAATTGCGCTCATAAACACACTCAACAATGTCTCTTTCTTGTGTTTTCCAGGTGTTTGGAACAACGCTGACAAGTCACAGGAGTAAGACCATGCTGAATGTGAGTGAATCTGACTGTTTCTGTTCAAATGAGTAGAAGTGATTTTGTCAATTTGCCAGACATTTACTAGTAAAGCAATAAGGATGACTGCTATTCATTAAAACACTCATTTCCCAGCTGCATTCCTTTGGGGTTGGCTATGGGTAACTCTGTTTTAAAATAACCTTGGAGTGCTTTTTTATCTGTTTTCAACCCTCTTGGGGGAGGAGAGGTTATTAACATTGTGCTTCTGTACTTGCTACTACGTGGATTCTTTTATGCTGCTGTCCAACTGATTCTTGTCCTTCTGCTTTCATTGCTGTTCATCTTCAACAACAGGGAGGAAATATTGTAAGTAGCTTATTCTGATGTGGTCTATTTGACTGCAGTGCATCATTTCACTTACAAGAAAGAATAGTGACTTTTTTTTTTGTAAGGCTGTGAAATATATTTAAATAAAAAAACAATTAAAACACTTAGCAGAAAAAAAAACTTCTTTCAACAGTTGCATTGATTACAGTATTTTGTCATGAAATATAACATGACAAAAAACAATGACAGATAATGTATTTGGCCAATGATTTCATCGTAGTTGTATTTTGAATTATAATTGTCAATCCTACAGTACAATGTTAAGTATAAATAAGATAAGATTGGATGCTCCAAAGGTTAAATTCTGGCATAAAAGCAACAAAAAATAGCCTCTAATACAGATTAAAAGTAAAATAAGAATAGATAAGAAAAATTGGAGGTATATGGGTATTGGTGAATGACAAAGTAAGGTGACAAGTGGTGATATAGTGACAGTATGATTTAATAGCAGCGAGGTAAACAGTAGTGTTACAGTTTAACATTTAAACATGGTATAGTATGGCGTAATACTTGATATGACTTTAAGATAAAATGGAGCAATTAAATATAAAAAGGGAAAAAAAATACCAACCAAAACCTTTTTAACGACCAGCAATGAAAACACTATCAGAGTTTTCCTCCTGCCACAGTTTGATAGTGTTCATGTTTCATCCAAGCAACCCTATAGTGACCTTTCCGTATGAGTGTTTCCAGCTTACCTGCCTCGCTGTGGCTGTGGTTTAAAAACATCTTTAAAAGAAAACTGTGACGCTTGGGCCGGTGGGCTTCTGAACTTTTGAAATGATAAAATATGAAGAAAACTTTTAAAATGCCAAATAATGGAATTCTAAACATGCAATCAACTTTTGAAATACAGCGATTGATCACGATTTAAATAATTACTAATTTGACGGCCCTAGTTTAAACATGCAATTACTGTTGTTGTCCTTTTCATTGAGTACAGTCAATGAAAACAAAATGCTGATGTTACAGCCTCCTCCAGCAAAGTATGGAGGGAGACACACTGTGACCCTCATACCTGGAGATGGAATCGGCCCAGAGCTGCTCAATCATGTCAGAGAGGTTTTCAGGTTGGTAAACTGAAAGCTGAATCTTGAGTATGGAACAACACACAAGTGTAGAGTGCCTTCTCAATGTGGTTTGTATTCATTCTGTAGATTTAGCTGTGTTCCCGTGGACTTTGAGGTGGTGCATGTGAACTCTGCTCTGGAGACTGAGGGTGATATCAATAATGCCATTACTGCCATCCGTCGCAATGGAGTGGCCCTCAAAGGTAAACAAGCCCTCGTTGTTCTGTTTGACAGGCAGAGCATGGAAACATGAAAGGCAGAGAACAGCTGTGATAAATGAGTATTGTATAATGAGACTCTGACACAAACTAAACTGTGACATTACTTAACTGTCCTTGTAGGTAACATTGAAACCAAACATACCATGGCACCATCTGTTAAATCCAGAAATAATCTCCTTCGGTAAGAGTTTTAAGGAAATACTCAGTTCTCTTTGTAAAAGCTCTATTTTTTTCACATGGCTTACATTTCTCCTTTAATTTGGTCCTTTGGTGTCTCCACTGTTTTTTTGTTTGATTTTTATGGAATCCCCCTGTTTCCCCTTTCTCTTGTTCAATGTGTGCATGACCAGCACGAGCTTAGACCTGTACGCCAATGTGATGCACTGTCAGTCCCTCCCTGGAGTCCAGACTCGTCACAAGAACATTGACATCATGATCATCAGGGAGAACACAGAGGGAGAGTACAGCAGCCTGGAGCACGAGGTCAGACAGAGCCGGAATACTTAATCAATGCTATTGATTGCTGAAACTTTCTCCAGTAGAGTCCTTTTTGCCGCTCCTTCTCTTTCATCCTTTCAAAATGGGAACTAGGCAATATGAAAACATTTTCATGAGTTCCACAGTTTACCAAATGAAAACAATGGTCTGCTGTCCCTGATTAGTACTTGTTAAAGATGAGAGCCCTATTGAGCAGACTTGTTTTGGCAAGGCACAAAAATATAAGATAAGATAATCCTTTATTTATCCCACAATGGGGAAATTTACATTGTTACAGCAGCAAAGAGCAAAGATTGCAGACAAAAAGTGAACACAGTACAATTTAAATAAAACAATTAAGAATGTACAAAAAAATAGATACTAAAAATAAAAAATAATCAGCCATTTGACAAAAGTGTAGTCCGTAATATTCAGTGTAACACAGACATGCACACAGTGCACATAAAGTGTAACATGTTATTGCACAAAGTGGATGGTTAAGCATAATATAACATTATTATGTAACGTAATACTAAATACTGAGGCAACTGACTCAAAACAATGTTACAACTACTACTCTGTTTACAGCACAGTCTACTTTGACATATTTCAGTCTTACTCCTCTCTGTCTTCCTCCCTGACTTCATCCAGAGTGTATCAGGGGTAGTGGAGAGTCTCAAGATCATCACCAGGAACAATTCCCTCAGGATTGCTGAGTACGCTTTCCGCCTGGCCAAGGAGAAAGGTCGCCGTAAGGTCACTGCTGTACACAAGGCCAACATCATGTGAGTTTCTCTTGACGCAAATGTAATGCCAGAGCTGTCTGGCCTAATGAGTCCTACATAATGTTACATGTTTTGTTTTGGTCTGGAAATGTTAAGTAAAGACTTTCTGCTCTAACAGGAAGCTGGGTGATGGCTTGTTCCTGGAGTGTTGCAGAGAGGTGGCCTCTGGGTACCCAGACATCACATTTGAAAGCATGATTGTGGACAACACCACCATGCAGGTCACCGAAGAAATGGCTGAACATTTTGAGTTTGGAAAAAAATGTATGCATGTTTATTAATGGGGATTTATTTGTCTGGGGTTTTTAGCTGGTGTCCAAGCCCCAGCAGTTTGATGTGATGGTGATGCCCAATCTCTACGGGAACATAGTGAGCAACGTGTGCGCAGGCCTGGTGGGAGGGCCTGGCCTTGTGCCAGGGGCTAATTTTGGCCGTGACTATGCTGTCTTTGAAACGGTGAGTTTTTTGCACTTCATGGTAATTAGCACACTATTACCTCTGTTCTGTTTTGGAAGAGTGGAACATTACATGAGTCATCATTGTGACCTATGCCTGGTTCTTGCCCTATTTTTTTCTGTTACTCTCAGGCCACGAGGAACACAGGGAAGAGTATTGCAGACAGGAACATTGCCAACCCCACTGCCATGCTGCTCGCCAGCTGCATGATGCTGGACCACCTTAAGTAGGTCTTTTCAGATTGAATACTTTCATTTAAAGTCCTCTGTGTTTGCAGTTGTAAATGTGGCACAGCAGTAATTTAAACAATTCTTTCTCTTGATTTTTCAGGCTCTATGATCACGCAACTTCAATCAGAAACGCTGTCCTTATTACCATGAATGAAACTCGGGTAAGTCTTTCTTCACTAATAGGCCTCCCCTCCACCTGTCTCGCTGCCATAAGCTGTTGGTCCATTGTTGTTTGACAGAGGCTTAGAGGCCCTGGTGACAGGTCTGGCATGCTTCCTAGTGGACATCACAAAACGTTTACACAAAGCACCATTGTGTGCTTTTGATGTCACACAGCTTTTATTAAGTACTTCACTGTATGGTATCTGATTTTACACTTTATGGCATTAATGACTGTCCTTTGGTTTGTTTAAAAAAAAAAAATCTGGTCTGCATTTTATTGAAGGCAGCAGAGTGGTAGCTGCTTTGGCAGAAATTTTGAGAGATGTGTATTTTTAATTTTCCCAAGTGGTAATTCACTTTCAGTCCAGAATTTTAATTTCAGCTGTTTCTTTGTCTTGCAGTTGCACACAGCTGATATCGGTGGTCAGGGCACCACATCAGAGGTGGTCCAGTCCATCATGAGGTACATCCAGAGTAAAGGGCAGCTTACGTCTGACCTGTAAACTCACGCAGTCATTAAAGGTGAAGAGGTGTGTGTATCTGGGACAGGTGCAGAGTACCAAAGAGGATGTCCATGCATGATTGTTTCCATCAAGCCACGTCTTATCACAGACATCAGAATGGTTCCTGTTTATTTGTTCATATTCAAACAGCTTTCTGACCAATTCAGCGCACAAACAACCATTTGTCCACAGCTGTGAGTTTCATGTATGTTCCCAACTGATGCTAAAACGGTTTACTATTGATTTAAAAAGCATTGCCTTCTTGTATTTCCTGAGTTCATGAGGTTCAGTCTGTTGAAAATCTGAACTCCTACAAATGTTCAACAATGTGCAAAACTTGCAGCATGTGATTCATCAAACACATGTTGGGCTAAGAAATATCCATAATATCCTAATATGGCCATGAGGTATCAACTTTGCCTTCTTCATTGTGAATCATTATTTATTTTTTAAATTACAGTTCTGTTGTGCAATTTAGATTTAATGCCTTAAATGTTGTTTGTTATTGGTCAAGCTGACATTGTAATATGTTGCCTGTTGTACTCTGTAACGTCCCATGTGTTCACATCAGATCAACCGTATTTTAATGTCAGATATTAACGGTAACATCAGAAGAGGTGTGCATCAAATAACTGTCAAAGGTCAAATTTAATGTTTGTGCCATTATTACATTTTTACTTTATCATGTGAAAGTATACTGTAACATGTCTGTGGATGGGAATAAATACTGTAACACAAATATTATCAATAAAGAAATAGTCTATGTAAAAGGGAACTTTATGGACAGAGAGGTTTAAATGTGAAACATTTCTCTACGGATTTATTAAGATCAATAGATTTTAGTAGCAAGGTTAATGGGAACAGCAATCATAAAACTCAAGAATTGTTTGGAAATCACTCATTTTGGTGGCAGCAGTCACTTTGTGACTTTGAATTTACAAACGTTTTTGTTGTCACCTTGTGTATTAATAAAAAAAAAAACACCTATTTAATGCAATAAAGTTTAACAGAACGACATCTGACTATTCCCTCACAAATCATTAAGAAGTAGATCAAACTCTCCTCTAAATCAGTTTAAAAAATGAACATAACAGGAATATTGTATCTGTCTGCATTGTTTTAGCTCGGTTTAGCAGATAATCTGAAAACTGTGCACTTCGACATTAAAAACATGCTAAAATTATTTTTGCTCAAGTCCAGAAATTTACATTTTGACTGAGCATCTGCATCAAAGAGAAATCTTTGCTCTGGCTTCCTGCTGGGGATAAAGATTATTTGCTCCAAATTAGATAAAGCTAACTGATCCTTCCGTTTGTTTTACAATTTCACGCCCCATCAATGTCTTACTTCCAACATTGGATGACAAGCTGCAGTTTTACATTTCATCACAAGAGGGCAATAGTGCATTCATAAGTTGCCTCTAAACTGCAATTCTGGACTTGTGAGTCCAGTGTACTCTTTGAGACAATAACTAACAAGGACAAAATGTAGAAATGCACGTTTTACTACAGAGACTTAAGAGTTAAAAAACTGCAGGAGAAACGGGACCCTGACAATCTGGCAGCCAGATTGTTCCACATAACTGGGAAAATGAAGTTGATTCTTATTCTTTTCATGTGACCGATGGGAATGAGGCTCTAGTGTTAGGATTAGGCTACATGTAAAGGATTTTGGCTTTGTTCTTTTTTTTTCCTGAGTCATGGTGTGAAATGCAACCTAATAAATGATCTTTTATTCTTGCATTAGTTTTTTTTAAATACTCCACAGATTCAAAGGAGAAACTTGCACAGGAGAAGGAGCACTAGATGTTTCAATGATAACGAATAAAAAAGACTGTTAATATCAAACAAGTCATCCCAGCCTGAAACAGAAGCCTTACTCGGTTTTCCTTTAAAACACAAAATAAGCCAACTCTTTTCTGTGAGAATTCATAATACTGGTTGGCAGAGAGAGGATGGAACTTCTATTTTGTGAATCATATATTTAGCCCTGTTTAACACAGGTGTTACTAATAACATTTATTGATGCACTACATTGTATTCCTAGATTGAATTGGGCCGTAATTCATTACCTATTGGCAACCGAATTCAAATTTCTCACCTTGTAAGACAAAGGAAGTTAATTTTGAGTCTTAACCAATTCTGTTTTCTTCCAGTGAATGTGATATAAAAAATAATGTCTTTAAGGTCCTATTTCAGAATTGTTTTTTTATGGGTTAAATCTGTTGTAGTTGTATTGTTGTTTTAAGCATTGCAAGCAATAAAAAAGTCAAATATATATAACATGGTCTCTGTTGATCTATTTGGCTTTCTGTGAGACACATAAAGATCTTCCAGATTAGCAAACAGGATGAGCAACAGGATGAGTCCAGTCAAAAACTACAGAAGAGATAGAGGAGTAAATATGGGAGTGGATTGAAAACAGTCTGGATGACACGGCTAAAAAAACAGACAAGGAAGTAAGGAAGGAGTTTTAAGAGCAGCTCAAAGGGTGTTATTTTAATATTGATCTATGTTTATCTTATTTAATTAAAAGTAAACTAGCTTAATTATGTGCTGACGATATACTACCCTTATAATTAGTGTTCTTGTGCTCTCCGTTTTTGTGGTTACATAAGAGCCTGAATACATTTTTTATTCCAGTTTGATAAATGAATTTTTATGGTATGGAATTAAACATTATAGTATAAAATTTTTTGTCCAGAGCTAGGTTAGATTAGTTAGTTAATAGGCTATAAAGATAGCCTAATCAAAGATTTCTTCAAAGGAATGTAACCGAAATGCATTAACATGACCTGTAGCTATTCTCACATCAGGGTCAGAAACATTCAAACGTGTCCCACCAAATAATTTTAGTTTTCATTAGAATTTAAAAAAAATATATTTCTATATTAATTTATCCTACACAGTTGTGATAAGTAAAGTGTATAGAAATAAAGTGTTCCTCCAATTATTTCACGGATCATACCTCAAAAAGTCTCCTCTTTCCCCTTTTCTTCCTACATTTGGTTTCTCCCAAAAGTGGTGACACATGTTGGGCTAAGCATCAACTTAAGGCTGTGTTGCTGAAGTGGTCAGTACTAAAGCATCAATCATTTTGATCTGTTTGGAAATGTAGATACAAAACTGAATACGTTTTTATTAAAAATCTGCAAAAGTTATGAGCCGTCGCTCTTGAAGAGCATTTAGCCTAGTTGTTTGACTTGCTAGCTAACAATAGATGTTATTAATAGCATAGGCTACTTAGCTAGACTACACATTTTATGTTGATCAGGAGTGAGCAAACGTTGTTTTTCCAGCACTATTATTACACTATAGATAGCATAACACTGAAGTTATATTTATTATCAGCAGGCAAGGATGGGCAGAAAACATTTTTTCTCTGCAAACACAAAAAGGAGGAGGGCCAAAGTGCAAGAGGTGGGTGTTTATGAAGATAAGATTAAAAAGAAAAAAGATAGTTGAAATTGTACCTCTGTGGTTGTAGCAGTACCAATATAATATCAAATTGATGTTACCACAGTGTAGCACTCTGTTTGAAGTAAAAGCCGTCAGAGCCTTGAAAAGCTTGAAGCTTAAGTACAATATAGAGAAAAGCCCAATTTAGAGAAATCTGTATCATATTAATGGTTTAAAATGATTGATGCGTGATTATTTTATATGACAGCTGGTGAAGGCCAAGCCCACTTTGTGCTGCTGGATAGTTTGTCACTGTCTTCACAGTTATCAATGTGTCTTATCTCAATGGAATACCATCATTTATTGGTTCATATATTTTCAAGTATTTGTTTGAATCTGCAAAGTACCAGACTTTATTATATATTTTTAATACGGCCTTTGTCGTATTTTGTGAGCCATTGCAATTCCACATCGTTAAACAAAATCCATCGACATGCAAATGTATAAGCATGGCACCATAAGATCAATAAGCTCAATAAGTCCGTCTTGTCTGCTCCTGCCTTGCATTTTTCATGGACTTAAAGAATAAACCTCGTAGGAAAAGTGTCAAATTTAGCGGAAAAGTTTCCTCTGTTAGAACATTTGCATGAAAATTGAGAAATTGAGAGTTGTTTGTTGTTTTGTTATATCAGTAAGAGTCACTTGTGTCACTGTTCATGGAGCCACTCACTCATACCCCCTTCACCTCCCCCTCTCTACTCATAGTCTCACTGTTCACTCTAAACTGCTTCTGCTGGAGCCGGGCCACTAGGCAGATAACCAGAAAGGGAAATGTTGCAACAAACAGCTGCCACTTGATCTTTATGGGCGACCATTCAATGCTTTTATAAATCTGTGAAGGGGCCACAAGCTGCAGAAAGAGCTGCCTTTAAAGGGGTGATTCTCCAAAATATATCAAACCAAACAAAAGCCTAACAAATCTAGCCTTCAGTGGCCCATTTTGTAGCTATCTATCATTGATTTGAGCCGTCATATCAGAACAAATGAGGTGTTTTGAATTTGTGGTGATCAAAGCACTGAAAAATCACCCCGTTATCTCCATAATTTACACAGCTGGATTTAGTCCCTATGAGGACTGTTTGCAGACATTTTGTAAAATGCGAGGATATGTTGCTATTATTATTATTATTATCAAACGTTTAATTCTATTAGCACATTAGATCCCCCTTAAAGTTGACAATTCAAACCATCAGTCGAGTCTACTTGGATTGGCTTAGATTTTGTTCGTCAAATATCTAGGCCTTTTCTAGTCAACTAGTCTAAGGTTAAGAAAACACTCAGAAAGAGTCCAAATTGAGCACAATTTATTTAACATGTCTAATCACGTTCCATAACCATATTCCATGTAGCCCATTTTGTCATTTGAAATTGTTAATTATACCTACCTTCCATAATGACAAATTTAACAGCTATTTTTAATGCCTCTGAATTGGTGGCACTTTGCGACGTGTTTTTCTGTCGGAAAACAATGTCAAATTGGCCAATTTTAGAGCTGCTCGCAATAAAAACCTTCAACGCCTTGCTGCGTGTGATGATTCTATGCCAGTTTACCAGTTTTAGCAAAGGTGACAACACATCACTCACATCCCCTTGGGAGAAGGCTGCTATCAACAGATCTGAAACTTTAGAGGTGATCCTTTCATAACCTTTGCTTAAGTGAAGCCTCCAATGTTCCAGTTATAAAAAAAGCTGATTCTGTCATTTTATTTTGTACCATCTTCCCTTGCAACCCTCTATGCGACATCTCTCATATAATGTACGCTCATGGAGTGGTAGCACTCGCTAACAAGGCTGCTTGTCGTGTTTCTGCTCCTTCTCCTTCATTCCTCTTCCTCTTGAGTGTCTTTGAAACTCCATGTTGAGTTGTTTTCATCAGCCTCTCAAAGATAAGTGCTCATCTGAAAGGTTGAGTCAAACCACAAGAAATGACACCGCTATTTCAACATTTATTTCTATTATTGGCAATCATTTCCCCCTGTAGCCTGCTCCTGATCTGTTCTAGAGTCATTCCTCTTTCATTTTAATCCACAAACACACGTGCACACACACACATGCGCGCGCACACACACACACACACACACACACACACACACACACACACACACACACACGTTGGGTATATGCAACTTCATATGAACATGTCACTCATTGTCATGTAGACCATCTCCAATATTTTTACACTGTCATCTATCAGTTGTCCTCTGATCAGACGTTGCAGAGCACAGCTGCATCCAGTCAGTCAGCTTTGCTCTCAGTTAATGGGACTTTCCCCCCCATTAAAGCTCGGTCTAAACTACATTAAGTTACGTCAGCAGATAGCTATTCTTTACCACCTGTTTGTGTTCTGGCCTCTCTGTGTGTCCTATAGGCTTCTTTAGTGTCTTCCTCAGAAAGCTCCTATCAGGGGAAGAATTGTGAACAAAGTAGTCTGAAGAAGTTACTGCTGATGTTTGTTTGGTAAAAAAATGGATGTGGCAAGGAGGTCAAGAGGGTTGGCATGCAGAGAAATATCGAGAAGAAAGTGGGGAAGAAGATGGGGGACAGGCAGGGTAACAGGCT